AGTGTGTGGTGGTGTCTGTATCTGTAGTGACCCTGCCCTCTGCACATCATTTCTTATTTTCCCCTTATTTTGCTGTGTGCGGGTCGTTTTTGGACATCTGCATTTGGGCACTGGCTGTAGCCCCACGCATTTGCAAGCACCCATCCAAGAGGAAGCTACGAAAAGCTTCCTCTTGGAATGAGCCGGGGAGAGGAGGGGCCAACTTTGAATGTTGTGTTTACAAACAGTGAGTGACTATTCCTGCATTAACCTATAAGTTAACTGAATGCTGTTTCTAGTGTCTTTTCATGATCCACTGATTGATTGTAGCCTACAAGATGCATAAGAATGGCCCTTTTATAGATATTCATATTAAAGGGCTCTCAACATGGAGACGGCTAAGCTCGTGACTAAATGTCCCAACGGCAGGAACAGTGCAAATAATGGCAACAGGGCTGATGGAACCAACAGTGTTTACCTGAGGGGGAACCTGAAGGTGGGCCATCGTTATCAGCAGTAACCGCCCTATGAGCGTAATGCAGCAAGGCAGCCATTGTGGCCGGTGGGACACAACAGAGAGACTCACAAAGCACAGAGAAGCTCGTTTTACAACACACACACACACACACACACACACACACACACACACACACACACACACACAGAGGGAGGGTGACTTCATTCTCTGCTCAGGATTACATTACCCCACTGTATATTTACATTGCAAACAGTTGTTTGCTGTTATATTAATGCTCTGAATTTCGAATATAGCACCTTTCATGTTTTTATTTATCTTGTTATTAGGACGTCCTGGCATGTATGAAAGCATATGTTCACATTTGTTTAAGTCGGTCTTAAAACAATAAGACAAAACAAGGTCAGGTGTACAGATTGTTTCTGTCCGTAACCATTCTCCCTGTTTTAATACCGGGAGGAAGGAGATCCCTTTCTAATGAGCTTTCAGTGTAAGAGATGGGGGACAAAATCCACAGCATCTGTGCAAATATATATTCCGTTTATCTGATGCTAATATGAGACTTCAGCAGTCTGTCTAATCAAGTGGATACCTCCGTCTCTTTCAGTATGGAAATCCAGTCTTTCCATGAAAATGAAATATTTGAATTTTCACCTACCTCTATCGGATTTTCTATTTATCAAAGTCTCATCCATGTTCTACTTGCGAAGTCTCTTATCCACATTTAGCTTTCTGACTAATATCTGTGATCCCTACAGCAACGCCGACCTCAACAGATCTTCCAAACCGTCCATCTCCCTCCCTTAATCTCCTGCAGTGCTCACCATATCCATTTCAATGTCTTTTTAAGATCTCTCCCCTTTTCTGAGCTTCCTCTCAATCCTTCTAAAATAAATCCCTCTTTTCATACACTCTTCACTCCATCCCACTTCTGCCTATCGTCCCCCTCCCTTTCTCATTCCTTTTCCACAGAAAAGTTTTACTCAAACAATGCAATTAAGCAATCGCTCATCAGTCCAAGTAATAAATGAACACTACTGAGGTCAGAGTTACTCTCTGTATTTGGTTCTTGCAGCTCCCAAGACAAGTCTGGTCTGCTTTTCTTTTTCGGACTGTAGAGACATCAAGTCAAGATGCCCTTTACGGCTGCTTCGACTGTACAGACTGCTCCGTCTTGGATGACTCGTTTAAGGAACAGACAGATGTGTTGTATGTCTACTTCAAAAACATGGGTTTCTAAACAAATGAAAAGTTGTTTTTTTTGTACAAAGAACGAATCTGCTGTCACAAAGAAGACATGGTGAGAATAACTCTTGAATTCAGCCATAATAATTTCAAATAGAAGGAAATGCATGACACTCGTGATAGAGGTAATAAAATAATCTCACTAGATGGTTTTTACTTCAGCTGCCAGATGACCTGAATCATTTTTATTTTATCATTTTTTCACCTCTGAGATTATAACTTGTGTGATCTCTCCAGGTCTGCTCCTACAATTGACTCATATGGAAAGTGCTCAAGAGTCTTAGGGCCCCTTAGCTCTAAATCACTTCAGAACCGGTGCTCTCACTTCCCTGGTGATGAAACTGAGACGGTGAAAAAATAAGGAGTCACTGAAGATCATTTACCTTTTTATTTTAATATTCAGAGCCCCCTCCAATCCCCCGCATAACTAGTTTTCCAGCCTTATGTGTTTGCTGAAACAAAAATATTTGTGGATCTCTTGGAAAACACGATTCAATAGTGAACCTCCTTTCAAACTTCTTTTCATTAACAGTCTTCATGCAAAAGCAAAGCAGTCTGTACAGTCAATGCAGCCCTGCAGGACTCAACATGTCCACAGTACATGTTCCTCCTCTGGAGCAGAACAGAATTGTGAGTTGGACTCAAGTCTAGCCTCGTAATGACGTGAGAAAAACATCAAATGGTTTGTTTTTTTCTGGGTTATGTTTCGTTGAAGTTGATGCCTTTAACATATAGGGTCAACATTTGGACTTTAAACTTGTTCAAACTACTTAAAGACTCAGTGGCTCTTCCAATGGACTAAATGTTTTAATGTAATGAGAGCTGTCTCCAAGCAGTTGGCTCTTTACACTGAAGCACTTAACTTGGACCGGTTCTTACTGTTATATGCTTTTAAAACGTCAATGTGACAAGAGCAACTCAAAGTTATCTGTCGGTGTCTTTTGGAGTTCTTATTTATCAGCAGTGGTGACTATATTTTGGTCTTGATCTCTGTTATTTATTTGAGTTATACTTTGGTTTCATTGTCCTGTTTGTGGGAGAATATTTTTGTTTAATGTGGTGTTTTGAGTATTTTTAGCCCTGGCTGCAAACCAAATTTCCTTATAGGGACAATAAAACTGAAGTTGAAGTTGGGGGCTCCGGACACATAGGCATCAGGGAGACAAGAGGATATTGTTTAGAAAGACCAACAGAGGAAAATGGAGTGAAAGTAAAGATAAGGGCAAGTCCAACTGAGGGATAATATCAAACTCTTTTTACCCAACTCTCACCTATAGGGAGACACACGTCTCTCCTGCCTCTTATCAGCTCATCCTACATTAGAGGGATAAAGCAGCACTTAACCTGCCTGAGTAGAGCTTAATTAGAATTAGTCAGAAAGGTTGACATTGGTGGTTTCCAGTGAAACGTCTCAATGTTGGATACAATGCCATGGAATTTGGTACAGATATTTATGTCCCCCTCGGGATGAATTGTATTAACCTTAGTTATCCACTGTTATCATCAGGTCAGAATATAATTCTTTCGTTGTTGACTGAATAGAGAGGCAAAGTCCCTCCCCTTCCAGTGGAAAACTATGCCTGAAATAAGGACGCTTAGCAGATTTTTAATGTTTCGTTCTACGGCACAAAATACGTCAATAAATACCCCATTTGTGAATTTTAAAGCGTTTGTGTATCTTAACAGACGGTTGTCAACAAGTGGCTAAATGAGACTACAAAACCAGTCATGTGACCGTGGTGTAGTTCCTTTATAGCCTGACGTTAGCCTATTACTTATGGTGATTGCATTGGTGCTTCAAAAATTGTGGTGTTCAATTGTGAAGACTATCTTGTTGACGCTAGGTCTAAGTACCATAAACTCTTGTTTGCTACAGAGTTGATTTACTACAATAATCCAAATTTCAATGGCCTACAAAAATACATCATCCCAGCAGCACTCTATGCTTATAATGGAAATGATTGACTTTGACTCCCTTAACAACGGTACAATGCTCTCAAAGTGCTCAACACAATCAAAGAACCAAGTGCAAAACAGGCAGCACAGCCCTCATTAGTTGTGCATATCTGAAGAAAACACTCCCCACAGGCTGAGATGATGAAGCCCGAGCAGTAATCTAAAGCTGCAACTTGCCTTTATATAACGCACATCATTAGTATAAAGCGGTGCTTAAAGGCCAACTAATTTTAAGGCCTGTGTAATGCTAATGACATTAAAGTATGTAGCACCAAGATAATCAGACGTGCATAATGATTAGAAGACCATCCCTCGCCAAGTTGGCAGGTCAAGCGCCTCAGTAGGTGTTTCTCACTGAAGAGCTCTTGAGCAACACACTTAACTTTCTGACCTTGTGCTTTGGATGGGTGCCAAAGAAAAAGAGGATAAGTACAGCAAGATAATTGCAGATAGAGAGCCCCCTCTTCTGGTAATTATGTAGAAATGCAGTAGTTCATCAGGCCCGAGCTTCAGAACATAATTCACAAATTCCTTTTCATCGCATGGAGGCTTTAGGTCTTCCATCACTCACTAATTCAGAAATCTGATCATTGCAAGAGATTATTATCCACATGAAAAAAAAGATACATTTAACTCAAGACCTTAATGCAGAGATAAGGTTAATAAGTAAATAACATTATCTTTGCATACTATCAATGGTGGAGGGACATTTAACTTGAAGGTCCCTCCTGTCGTAAATTACTGAAACCAGAGCTACAAAGCAATAATTAAATTTACATTCTTCATAACCATATTGAAATCAGAATAATAGACTGAACAGAATTGAGTCAATTCCATTTATTTTCTATTGGTACTGGATCGCAACGACATCTGATAAAGGAGAAACGATTGAAACAGTCCCTGCTGGAGAAATGCAGCGGTCTGTGCAGAGAAATTGGTTAGAAGGGGATATTTTGGGGGGAAAATAAACCTCAATTAAAGCTGCAAGCAGCATTGTTCAGGCCCTCGCACCTTCACGCACGTCGATGGTACTGGCAGGACTCTCGTTGACACGGCCGTGCATTTCTGTGACCATCAGACACTGCGTGCACGAGTAATTTGGTATTTCCTAAGTGGACCAGCAGCGTAGCCGGGTCATTTTGCCAGGTCTTAAGCCTTGAATGTTTTGAGTGTAGCTCCGCATACAGTAACATTAGAACAACAATAGGTCCGTCGCTCCGACTACATACAAGTACAGACGTCATCCATCCTGAAACTATATATTGTTGCCTTTATGTTTCAGCATTTTTGTGATTTTGTTAGTCACACCATTGCACTAGTCATTCAAAACCACTTAAGACAAAAGCTCATTGCAGCAGCATTGGCCTTTTTAATAACAATAAAAACAGTCAAGAAACAACTATGGCTTTTAGCCAAAGCAAGCATGTACAGTAGTAGGCCAGTAAAAGTACAAATACAATCTGTAAATACATATAACAACAAAATCTAGGAGGGACAGAAGATTTAATCAAAAGAGCTGAGGTCCACTTGTTTCTCTGTTAAGAGCCCACTGGAACTACGACTGTCTGCACCCATGTTGATGCGTCCGTGCGCAGGATCAAGCCTCGACAATATGAAATGAAATGGTGGTGCTCATTTCAGCAGCTGGCTGAAATTTTGAAAACCAGCATTGAGTTTTCAACTGAAATTGATGGGTTCATGGTCATACAATGGCATTCAGCTGAAAAGGAAGGAAAATGCGTGTGCAAAATCTATCAGCAGAACGTGATCACAACAAAAGAAAAAGGCAGAAAATGATGTGGTGGAAAAACTGGAATTTTAATAAAAAAAATGATTTGGATTATGGTTTCAAGCCACAGCCAAAATGTGCCATTAGGCAGTACGGTGCTGAGTCTGCACCCTGCGCGGCAGTCAGGAAGAATATGCGATCAGTACATTCAGTTGATATTCTAGACTCTTCAATGGACCGAACCTCTAACCGTGCAAACATCCAAGTCCAAGCCAAACCTTCAAGTTTTAAGTGAACAGTTGGTCCACTGAATCAAAACATCCTAACTTTATTAAACATGTTAGAAACACCTACATGTTTAAAATGTAGGTGTGACGCTGCTGTAGAGTCCAGCATAAAATAAACAGTTAAAAATGTTGTTCCAGATAAAATGGCCATCTGGGATGTAAGGCCACTCCATCTGGGACGAGAGGTCCGTCTCATTGGGCGAGGCTGGTCCAAGTCAGAGCTCCCTTCCCTTGTGTCCATTTTGGTTGAAATCCACTAGGAAAGGTAAATGTCGAATGCAAAAACAACCCGATGGGTACAGGTCCAGCATTTCTGTGGGTCAGTAGGGGGCCACGTCAGTAGTTCCTTGCAAAAGTTTTTGAACTCCAAAAGTCACCAAAACTCTAAAAGAGCATCTGCTGTGCTGTCGAACAGGCAGAGTGGCAGTTAAGAGCTCCCTGGAGAACAAAGGGTGGCGTTGTGTTAGCTTATGTAACAGACTGTCAGTAACACAGGCCATCTGACAGACTGCCTCGTATTACGAGGCGAGCTGCAGTGAGTGAAGGCGGCCATTCTTCAGTCCTTCAAATCGCTGAGGTGACAGTCACACAGCTCCTTGTGGATTCTCTTGCGGATACGCGGCATGTCCTCCTGACTGAACAGAAGAGGCTGCTTCACAGAGAGACAACGGCAGTACTGACAGACCAAGACAAAGAAAAAAAAAAAAAAAAAACACAGTGAGGGAAAATGATCCATAACCACAGTTAGGTTGCCATATTAAACGTGGACAATGACAGAAGCTTTTCTCCGGTGTCTTTCGAGACTGAGCAATGATCAAATGTGTGCAGAAAACTGGGGCAGGAAAGACACGCTGGAGACACGGGGGGAGGGGGGGGGGGGGCACAGGAGATGAGGAAAAGACATGCATGAACAAAGGACGGGAGGACAGTGGGAAAGGAAAATGTCTCACCTCAAGGACAAAAACTCCACAGTCGCTGTCGTTTTTCTGCTGAGGAATACCCTGAGGGGGCAACAAGTCACAGTCATGAAGACGGCAAAAATGTCACACTCACAGTTACTGGGCTGAATAGCCTCAACATTTTCAGTGTCCTGCAGATATGTTAAGAGTTATCTTGGACGTTATTGTAATTTTTACATAAATGTTTTGCGTACACAGGGTGAACAACACAGCATGAGGATTACAGTCAGGGTTTAGAGTTACCTTGATGATGGTAATCTTCCAGCCTTTCTGGAAAGCTGCCTGTTGCTTCTCTCTGGCTTCAGACTGAAGATACTTCATGATGTTCTGACAGGGAAACACACACAGACACAGAGGACTGAGTCATGTTGAGCAAAGAATGCAAAGGAATGGCAAACATTTCCGTTGGCCACTGTGAGGCAGTATTTATTAGATTTTATGAATGTTTCAATACTTCCAACAAACTATGAACGGACAGAATCAACAAGAACGCGGAGGGTAAGGAAGACGTCTCAGCCTATTTAAGCAGATGGTGAGAATATCAGCAAAATGTCTGCTTTGGTGCAAGTAATTAGTTAATCTACTAATTCACTGTCAAAGTACGATCTGCTTCTTTACAGCCGTATGAGGAAAAAAAACCCTGGACTATCTGATGCTACCGCCAACAAACTGAGGAAACAACTATTCATCTCATCGAGTCTCTCGCCGGGTATTTATGGTCCAACAACGCATCGGAGCAGAGAAGCCGGATTAACTGATGATCTCTACAGAGACATCGACATCCACAGAGGGCCCTCACATCCGTGGTGTGTCTGAAGACGATGCCTTGGCTGTCGTAGTAACTGATGGTTTTGGTTGCCATGGTGACCGTGATGAGAGACCAGTGGATCTCTAGATGGATGGGAAACAGCAGCAGCCACTTGGAGAACAGGTCGACCTGAAATCATCCCACACACACACACACACACATTAGATATCCAAGATAAAACATGTTGCACGTGTCTACTACTGTCAGATGATTGGGCAATACTACCAAGAGTCCAACAGGACCAACAGGTTCTTCTTCTTTACTTGCACGGCTAACAGTGAGGTGATTGGTGGTGATGCCATGCTTTACTGAACGTACTTCACATACTTTGTGTAGTTAGCTAATTTAATTTAGACTGTGGTTGCCAACAGTGGCAATGACTCCACAACAACAACAAAAAATGGTTGACAAGCAAAGACTCTGAAAGGCAAAGTAAAAAAAACGGAAATAAAATAGTGACATTAAAGTTCAACTGATACTCTACTGTCAAAACAAGTGAAAAATGGCTTCTTCCTCCTCCTCACTTTTTTAGTCCATCTCTTCACACCGTCATAACCTTTGGCAACCAGCTGCTTGTGGAAGAAGCTGTTGAAAAAATGAACCTGAGAGAGAAATAATGAAGTGCATTAACACATTACACAGTCAACACTTCATGTTCACATTTAATTAATAAAATCAACCTACAGCGAGTCCATTTTATATTTCATAAGTTGTAAATCCTTTTGCTATATTTTTCATTTCCAGCATACAAACACACCCTGACTTACCTTGTGTTGCGTCGCCTCCATGATGAGTTCTCCATACATGTTGATAATCTGAGCAGACAGAAGAACAGAAAAAGATTCAACGCAAGACCGTCTGACATCACCGACACAACAAACGTGATCTTTCTTTTCATTGTTGCTGAATTCGATTTTTTTAAAGTGACTTTTGTGTTAGAGGGCCGCACAGCGCATGAAGAAGTGTGATGATGGCCAAAAAAAAAAAAAAACATCTGTAGCTGTACGAGACTTCATCCTTCTTCACCTGGTCATTAAGCCAGTTCTGTTCCTCCAGCATGCCAAGGTCCTCCAGGCCCAGGGTGTGCTTGTTATACGACACCATGAAGCCCGCGATGGGAGCAGAGGCCAGCCCCGCCCTGTACCGAGCCATCTCCCTTTTAATGTCCAGCCCCCTGAAACAAAGACAAGGAGTTCTTATGCAATCCTCTCAAGTATTCATTAGACTTTTAAGGACATTTCAGAGAATATGATGGGTTCAGATAAGGAAAGAGATGCCACGAGGTCAGAGATTCAAAATAATATTCAAAAAAAAAAAAAAAAAAAAAAAAAAAAGGAAGGTTACAAGTTTTCAACGGAAATGAAACGGCTTCAAAACAGTCTTCTGAATGCAGTTTTAACATTAGAATAATCTGACGACTGGACTGATTTAATGTAAAATAACATGATGACATGCCAAGATCATGAAGGCTCATACTCATTGTAAATAACACACGTCATGTTGATCATAACAGCAAAAAGTCCCAGCACACAGTAAATGATGAATTATTTTTTTTAATGTCATATGTCAACTGCTGCTGGCATAAACTCTTTCATCTGTGTCATTGAATAATTGTGTGATTGAGGCTTAGTGCTGGAACATCTGATAAACCCTCAAGCATTCAGGCAGATTGTGTTTGTGTGTGTATGCGTGTGTGTGTGTGCGTGTGTGTGTGTGTGTGTGTAGACTTACTTGCTGCTGAGGTCAGAGTTGCCTTTCTTCTTCAGGTGTTCCAGGACATCGCTCTCAGTGAGAGGAATGAAACTGCCGTACTTCATGTAGAAGCTCTCCAGAAAATCTGAAAGAGAGGAAATCACTATTACTGAATCGATCAGCTTAATAACATAAACAAGTAATATACACACTGCTGATGTTTGCAAATCCTTTAACACAGTGATTCTCAACTGGTGGGTCGCGGACCCGTTTTCAGTGGGTCATTTTATTTTGAAGGGCATTTCTTATGCAGCGGAGTTATTCCAGCATTTACGGCACTTGTTCAGCGGTGCAGGAAAAACACCGACCAATGCGTTGTGAATCACATCACGTGATGCAGCTCAGCCAATCAAATGAGTATTCTGACAAGTTTCCTGACTTGAGTGAGATGTACACACACCGTGACACACGGGGATAGACGAGGATATAGAGAGCAGAGCAGGACTATTGAAGTGTGAGATGTGAAAGTCAAATCATAGGACGATTTCCAAAAGAGAAAAATGTCCAGAGAGACCAGAGTCATTAGACTCTGACTGCACAGACTCATAGAGGTGAATTCTTCACACTAATTTGAGAGAAAAATATAATATTGTGGATTTATCACTTCACCCTGAATGAACTGAATTTAAAGCTGCAGGGCATTTCAGTGAAAATCATTTTTCTAAAATGGATTCTGTTACGTGTTATTTATAATCCATCCAGTTAAATTTGAAAAATGAGAATAATA